TTTTCGAATGAGTCACACGCAGATGCTTGTACGACTGGGTGTTCAAAGAGGACATGCGAACGTACACGTTTGACGTTATCATTGCCAACGTGTGACTCTGTAGTCTGTACACAGTGTTCCACACATGGCACAAGCCCAACAAAATTGCCGGATGTGTTCCAAGTCGGACGTGTGTCATCAGTATTATTGTTCCGCGCTCCCCACTACTGTGTTATCGGAGTTGGCGAACCTTTACTGAAACGAATGATAAGAATTGCCGCTTTGTACAAATGAGAAAAGTCAGTAGCCTTTTGATGGGTGGATCCAGATGTGTTTGATCATTTAGTCATTTGCTGAAGAAGAAGAAACAGTCTGGTTTTAGTCCAGAATAAAGACTCTCAATCTTTGTTCTGTGATCAAAGTCAATGACAATTTCAAAAGACATTTTACATCTACATGTTTAGTCAGTAAAATCTTACAATTGTAGTTACATTCTGAAAAAAAAACCCTATTTGAGTAAATGACTAGCTGTTGGTTGAATAACCCAAAATGGTCGTATTAAGATACGTCTAAGGACTAGGCTAAATTTATTGTCCAACATTATTATATTTTTCGGGAGCTACTGAAACCGGGGGATATATTAGTCAAGCCATCCTTATTCTACATTTTCGAATGTATGGCTAAATTCGGCACTCGTGTCTACCACCGTAATCAACAAGTGTCTGGGCATAGAATACGTAAGCTCCATTTGCCCAGAACAGGTTGACTTCTGACACACCTTCCTACTTTCGAGCTAGGTAGTTGTTTACGCCTACTCTTAAAATCACGTGGTCTAAAACACTACAGCAACCGGAATTCAGACGTCTATGTATAAATGTTGAGCTTTGAATGTTTTTTACGATGCCTTGCCTAACAACAATTTATTATAATAAATTGTTAAGGGTATATAAAAAAAAACATAGGTGGATTTTACATTGACAAACTGCTATGTAACGTCCGTTTAATAGCACACAGTGTAGTACAGTTATGTATTTCCCAATCATATCTTTGAAATTTTCGACATCCTTGACTCATTGACACAAAATTTATTCAGAAATAATTTCGTGTAATAGGAAACTCAAATAAGGAGACAAAAAGATAATTACGCAAACATCAGTTATTCGAGTCTCTAATATCAGGGTAGTCAGATGAATAAATCAACCCAAACAGAACACAATCCACTCAAAACATAGGGTTGTACGATCTGCATATTCATACAACAGCAATCATCTGCATACACTGATGTAGTCATGCACTCCGGATGAGAGGAGGTTCACCGGATAAACGGGGGTAAGAGTATGAAGTATAGCGTACAATGTGTAAGAAAATTAATATTATTCATTTGAGTTATCTGACATGATTGTTCAAACGTAGTAGTCTATTGTTATAAACGAGGTGACTTGTTTGTTGCTTTGTTACTGGTTACGTCCGGGTTTCTTAAGTTAGGCATATTTATTGTACACCCAATAATTAGTGACAGCTAGGTCCTGTTTTAAATTTACAACCAAAAATTGTTAGGGTAACCGAGTACTTAGAGTGCTTGCCTTCAAATCTGAAGGTCGCTGGTTTGATTCCAAGCGAGATCGTTACCAGACCCAGATACCATTTGGTCGTTCATCAATTGAATATGCTTTTTAACAACGGGTCGGAGTTAAAAAATACCAGTGTTTGGACCGTTCCCAAAATAAAACGTAAATAAACGTTTAAAACGTAAATAAATGCCATTATGGTGTAGACAGACACAATAATTAAAACAAAAAACTACTGGCGAAGTTGGTGGTTTAAGTGAGTTCAGTTCGGTCTTCGGTGGCGTGCCGGGCATCGGATCCAAGGCAGCGATGTCGTAGTTTTATAAGTTTTTATATGATTTTTCTCAGGATTGAACCAGTGAGCTTCTGAATATCAAACAAACACTACACCTACTTTGCTAAGCCAGCTAGTAAAATACCAGTGCATAAAACTAAAGAGAAGAACTGCAATAATATATAGTGTGTATACAAAACCACACTAGACGTAATTGGAATTAACGCGTTAATTTATTAGTCAGAATTTATTAATTTTCAATTATGATAACCATTGCTTAATGCCTGCGTATTTAGAATATTCACAAGTAGGTTCACTAATTTTGCATCGTATTTTCTTGGTGTTCTGCATGTCCCATACAGATTACATCGAGGTTTACATGAATGGACCAGATTAAGTTATTCGTAATTAAATAAAAGTAACGTTAGGGAACTCCTAATTTAAAAAAAATGAATGTAAAACACAGTCAAACAAATTTCTTAACATTTCCATCGTTCGAAGTCCTAAAACTATGTTTCAGGTGTATTGAAAGGTATTCTCTTTGTGATTTCAGTCACTGTAAACCGAATAAATTATTCGATTCAATAGAGCTTTCAAATTTACCGCATGTTATAATCCATGACTCCTTCGATAGAGTGGTTTATTCATGTTACAGTTTTGTGAAGAATCTCATCAGCTCGACAAGTAGAGGTGATTCATTCTTTATCTTAATATAGCTACTTAGATAAACAATAGTACTGAAAAGCTAAAAAAGAAAGGAGTATTTCTTGTAATACAGTGTGATTAAATTGTTTTAATATACATTTAATCTAAAAAACATAATAGATTCTGCGGTCATTGCATTATTATCAAGAGAATTAAATAGTTATTTTCCTACAGTCCTGACAAAGTGGTTTTCCTTGCAATTATAGCACAGAAAGTTGCTAATAAACACCTATTACGTGTCTAATAAAAACACGCTGTTTTGTGTTGTTTGGTTGGAATACTGGTGTGCGGCAAAAGTAAAATGTGTGCGTCAAAAGTAAGTAGATGCAGCAATTAGCAACTTTCTGTGCTATAATCAGTGCAAGGAAGGCCACTTTGTCAGGAGACTGCAGGAAAACAAGTTTTTATCACGTAGACATTTATTTCAAATGTTGTGTGCAGCGATGAACAACTTTTCATAATCCCTGGAAAACAGTGAGGAAATCAGATGCTGCGAATCCACAAGAAACAATTCAGCACGGGCTGGAAAACGTCATTTACCCTGTTTCCCGCACTAGACTAATTATCCGTGTTAATTTCAGCCAAGTTTTCGGCCCTTCTTCGACAGTGCGTAAATATAGGTTACTGTCTGGAGATGTTGGAGAATTGGCTGTGTCGTAAAAAAGGTTTTAAAATTCTGTACAACTTAACAACAGGCTCTATAATATTGTTTTAGTTAAATAGGTACCTACACTTTAAAATTTGCAATACATTTGAAAGTTCGCACTACTTTATAGGATGTTTAAATTGTTATTTTTAACCAAATTTCAAAGTAAACAGAGATTCTTGTTTAGGTTACCTTATTCGAAAAAATAATATCGATATTCTAAAAATTTCAAATGTTTTATTTTTATTTTTTTACGTTCCCTAGTGGAAGAAAATATCATACTTTTAAAAATAATGGTTTCAACTCATAAAAGTGTTGTTTATTCTTTATAGGTAGGTACTGTTATGTTGCTGTTATTGTGTATGGAAACATAAAAACAAACACATAACACTGTATGTTTTAAAAAGTGACAAAATATAAAACCACGCTGTTTTAAACAGTGAGTCAGCATCCTTTTTAGCGCAGGCTGTAAGTTATAAGGCTTCAAGGTTGTGCGGTTTTATGTTTATGAAACTGTAAAACCACGATGAGCCTATCCCAAACTTGCTTTAGGCTACGTAAAAAGAGGGGATCATAAATCATTAATTTTAGCTTTCAATTCAAGACGTTCGAAAAGTCACGTTTTCTGCCGTCAAGCAGCTATAATCAATCTCTGTAACGGTAATGTTCATTAAACAAATACTAAATAAGTGAACAGTCGTTACAATTTTGCTGACGAAATCACTAACATCTTTGTCTATATCACAGTATCGAATATTGTCTATTGCCAATATTATTAGGTGGATAGTGGAGACGCAACTTTTAAATGTTTTGACGTATTAATACTCAAATATAAATTAAACGTCTTTGATTTACATGTAAACATGAAGATGTCCGTTTGGAATAAATAAATAAAAGACTGGCGTGGACGTAGAATTTTAATCGTTATCACTATTGTTATTATTTTGAGAGGTGGCACTCACCTATAAATTGAATCTGCTAACGAATGGAAGAAGACTGTTGAATAGATTGAGATTATCTATGTGTAGCTTTGTTACAAAAAGACCATAGCAAAAGGCCTATCTTAAATCAGGAACACTGATTAAAAAGCTCAATGATCAAAGCTGGATCCAGTTTCGAAACATAAGTTATTCCATGATGGGTAGCCTCTGGACCAATTATAATGGACCAATGGATTATTATAAGTTATTCATTCTTCTATGGATCAAACCATTTAAAATCCTTATTCATCGGCGAATACTTTGATTAATTAACTACAGATTTACGTAACGCTCCTGTTTTGCGTACCGTATTGTGAAAAATATTTGAAATAGGTTTAAATCAACATAAATAATTTGCACGGTACAGTGTTTACATGAAAGATAAATCAATAAACTAGCCTACCTAGGTTGGTTAATTCGTTTTTGGTATTATTGAGAACACAATATTAACTACATGACCGACATTGTTTAATTCTTGATTATTTACATAAATAATTACGTAGAGGCATTTATTCTTATAAAATTTATTATACATGAGGGAAGGTGAAAGTATGCAACTGTTCGTTCACTATAAGAAACGTTTATAAAATTCAAGCCTACAAAATAGACTGATGAATTTTAGTAATTTCCTAGGTAAAACTATCGACCTCCAGTCAAAAAAATTTAAACAGTCGTTTCGTTAGTTTATTGAACGCACCATTAACCTTCTGTATTTTCACTATAAAACACACATACACTGCTATCAACAAACAATATATTCCTCTCCATACCACAGGAGAGTTTTGCGAAACCGGCTCAACCACTGGTTGATCGGGCTCAAGAAACTTCAAACAAAAACACCATCTTACCGTAATCAGCTTCAGTGTAATCCACATGTTTGATGGTTCACAATCACCACATTGTCACACAAAACACTACCACACTGAGCCTAACAACAACAACTAACACCACACACCACAGCGACTGACTTGACTGCACTACACTGAATTGAATAACTGAACAACTGAACGACTTGACTGGAGCGAGAGCGAGTGAAGCAGTGAAGTGAGCAGTCAGCTAAATTTAGAACCCGTGACTGTTCGCAACAAAGGTGTGGTGGGGGGAGAGGGGGGTAAACCTCCCCCACCTCTCTCCTTATCTTGAATACTGATAACCGACACCTAGGCGTCGCCTCAGACGAAGTTCATTAACATTTGGAGTGATAATGATGAGTTGGAATTCGCTCTTTGAAATGTGGCGAACACAGCTGTAGGACATTATCATTAGACCTATTAAATTTATCGAAAAAATTAATTTCTGAACTAAACAATCGCTACGTGTGCGCTAAGACAGAAATCAACAGTGTGCGATTAGCCTAAACTGAAATCAATATGTATACTTTGTTTTTATTTATTTTCCAGTGGTAAGAACTAGAAATTTGAATTATTTACCTTGTTTTGTAGCCCTTCTGCGTTTAAGTTATACAAGAACATGGCAAATCAATTTTGGGTTCATCCGATAGTAAGTCAGAGACTTTTAAATGCAAGTTTCTTTTTAAACTGTACACTTGTTAACGTGATGACAGTAAAAGTTCTTTAATTACTATGGAATGTCTGTTGAAAGTTTTGATAAACTGTTAACTATTAGTTGGACAACGGATTTTTGGAACAATTCTTTACTAAAAAATACCTGTTAATAATATATGCTAATCCAGCTTTGATTGAATAGGGGTACCTGTCCAAAGAAATAAAAAAAAAACGTTGTCTAACTAATAGTAACAGTTTATTTAAAAGTCAACAGACATTCCATAGTAATTAATCTGTAACGTACAGGTTTATTCACGTGATTGTATTCATCTTTTTCCCGTATATTATGAGGCCGGGAAGAATTAATTTCCCTCCCTCACTCAATGACTCGCGGATCAATTCTCGTATTTCAAGCGATCCTGTTATCTACCTTCCGTACCCCCGGATCAGTTTGTATGATCCAAAACTACCCTATGACCACGGATCAATTCCTGCACACACGTAGATCTACGAGTGGCATAGGAGGTTCAGGGCTAAAGCACAGACTGTAGACACAGAATATATAGTAAAGTACTCTATAGTTTGTGTCTACAGGTTGTTTGGACACAGGAAAGACCACTGGGAGGCCTTCGATGATGACGCTCAAAAGAAATAAAATCGTACTACCATTGCAATTAATCTGAAGAAGTTTGCAAGGAAGGTAAGATTGGAGCTTTGATTTCGCCGACCGATGGTTAGGAGAGTTCAAATGTGGCTAATGGCTATTGGTACCGGTACCGCGGTACCACAAAAGGAAATCTAGATTAAAATCTCCAAACGCACTGGATTGACCATGTAGTTGACATCAACAATCTCAACTTGCGATGTACCGTATCCCACGTAGCCCATATTCAACTCCTTGGGGATTTAAAAGAATTAGAGATAAGATGTAAAAAGATGTGTGATAAAGTTTATAATATATCATTACTGTAACCAACACACATCCCGATGTACTTAGAGATTGCTGAAGCAAACTTATTGTTTTTACATATTAAAAAGTTAATTAAAACCCTAAACATTGATGGAGTTTTTGCTAATATGACAAACTTTTTTCAAACCAACTTAAATGATCTTTATGTAAACTACTGCATTTCCTCTGATGTTAAAATGTACTGTACAATGAACTTGTCAAAATTGACAACCGCTTAGTAAAAATTAAAATTTATCTGAACTGAAACACAACTAAGCTATAGATTTGACAAGATAAGAAGAAATCTACTTGTGAAAATACTTGTAAATAGAATTTACAAGCACCTGTAAATCATTGACTGCACCATTTACATAGTGACGTAAGACAAAAAGTGGCTTAGAAAATGAAGGCGTTTCAAAAATAATGGAACTAACTCACTAACACCTTCTTAAATTTGAACATAAATACCATATTGGGGAATTTCCCATGGATGAAATAAGCTATATATTTAAGTTAAGGAATAGGTAAAGATGCAGTTTTAAGGAGATAGTTAACCGTTTTATTTACATATAGAATTTTTATAACCATTGGCTATTGGATACTGAAGTTGTATTAATAGTCAAAGATAACCATTCGGAGGATTTTGGATGCTGGTTAATGTAACTGACTGCCACCTTTGTCGTTACACTTAAATTTATCAGTTTCCGTGTTTGGTTTTAGGAAAATAACAGTAGTAAAATAGCCGTCCCACGATTTCTCGCCGATACACCTTGCATTATGAGGTATGATTTCCTAAAACAAATAGGTACACTAATTATTACCATGCAGCATACCGGTATCTAGTTTTTTTTTATATTTTAGTAATTACAGTATTTTATCTATTTTATACTTTATTGTGTTAGTTATGTTACTCGAGGGATGGATCTAATGCAAAAGTGAAAATAAGGTGTTTCGGATTATCGTCAAGTTTTGAATCATCAATACAGTGTGAGTTTGAGGTTGGCCAGCCAGTAATTTAATTAGAAACTAAGAAACCTTGGGTTTTGTGTGCTGCTTGAAATGGACCAAATGTTGATTTTAGACAGTTGTACAATGGTAACTTTAAAAAAGGGTGATTAAATCCTCAATTGAATAAACATTTTTAATCAATTGAATTACTTAGTAAATACAACATGTTTTCAGTTCAAATGGATTTAGTTTTTCCTTTGCCATCAGCTGGAACAACCAAAGGAAAGGAGTGGTAGTGCATCATGATTCATCCCCATAGGCCAAAACACCCTCGGTTCAAATTCATATGTATGTGTCTGTTAGCGCAATAACCCAAGCAGAAATTATGCAATTTTGATGAAATTTTGTACAAACTTGTAAACCTACGTGTATTCAAACGAGGTAGCGAACCAACATGATTGGATTATGGTAACGGTGTTTATGGGGGGTTTTATGAGGTAAAAATGGGGTTTTCTTTTCTTTTACCATAAAAACATAAAATTTATCAATTTCTTTCAAGGACATTTTGTAGACCTTAAAAAATAAATAATTTAGTATATTGAAGCGTTATCCTACGCCTAGCGGTTATGGAGAAAATTCCAATAGTGTAAATAAAAAATTAAAATGTTATTCTAATGGAAGATAAATATAAACCGTTGTAGTTTACTTGTTTATGGATATGTATTTTAATTTAATAAAGTTTGGCAATTTTTTAATACCAAGTTATCAACTTTTTAATAAAAAAAAAACACTTCATTATACCACCCCTGTAGCAGCAAAACCTAAGTACTCCTTTGTTATTTAAATAGGAAATAAGTCTGACAATTTTAAGGGGGTGTTTTAGTGGGAATCTAGCTAGGTAAATAGAAGTTCACTGAGTCTGCAGGTTTGCTGCGACGGGGGTACTTAAAAATTTCACAGAATATAATTTTATTATAAGTATTTCCTTACTTTGACTAGAGCGGTGTTCCAAAATCGAAACACTGGGTGCGGATGGTCGTTGCTCTCATAGATTACATCCATTCCATGAGTGAACACTCCAAACCCATTCATTTCTCCGTTATCACCATAGAAACAGTAGAACCCGTGGAGCTCTCTGCATGGAGTTTTATCATCTAGGCTGTAGAAATAGTAGCGACCTGGCAAAATTCTTGTGCTTATTAGTAAATTGTGCATGATGTTTCTGGGGTTAGATCGAGGCGTCATGGTGGATTTTTGTATATAGTAAAGAATAGTTCTATTTTGTTAAGAATTGACAAAAAAATGATCCATATAATGTGAAATGCTTATGTAACAATTTAGTAGTAGTTCAAGATGGGCAAGAAAATCTACCATGTAAGTAAATTGAAAGTTGCATTTTCCCTAGTTTGTAGACTGTAGAAACTCTTTCAAACGGACATTCCTCTGAAAGTTTATTTACTGCTGTTTTCAGAGCTTATCCTATTTAGTTATGACATTGTCTTTGAAGAAAATTCTTCAGGAGCAATTTTAGAGTGCTACTTAGCTCATTTTTTGACCTCGGCTTCGCCTCGATCATAAAACTTGAGCTCAGGTCGAAAAGAGTCACTTTACACCCAAGTGATGAAATATACTATGTTTTAAATCATACTATATAGCCCTTCTATCAGAATAAAAAAAAACCATAGCAATAATATTGTAGTATTGTCATAGTGACATTATAAATACATTGGATTAAATCAATGGTTTGAACTGAAGACTGTGAGGAGAACTTACCAAACTTATTCTGGCAGCCTTGTTCATTCATTCTTGGTTCAACATCAGGAATTTTTACCTTCAAAATGGGGACTTTATGCCAATGCCCCTCATTCCTTCCTTCAAAATGTATGAATTGAGTGAAACAGATCGGTGTACTTCCTCGCTCCAGTTCATCTACGACAATTCCGATAGTTTATGTTTTTTAGCTTGTTTCAATTCAATATTATCAGAGCAAAATCACAAAAAGTTCTTGATTATTTGTTTTTAGCGAATTTCCCATATAGGGAATAAGCTATTACCGTAGTACTCACGGTAAGACCTGGACCCGGGACCGATTTTTTTTTTTTCGTTTTGAGGTCCCTAGAGGTCAAAAACACCATCCGTTCAAATTCATATATATATATATATTTATATATATATATATATATATATATTTATATATATATATATATGTGTCCGTTAGCGCGATAACTCGAGCAAAAATGATCCGATTTTGATGAAATTTGGTACAAACGTGTAAACCTACGTTTATTCGAACGAGTTCGCGAACCAGCATGATCGGACCATGGGAACGGGGGTTTATGGGGGCTGTTATGGGGTAAAAATGGGTTTTTCCCATTTTTGACCCAAAAAACATAAAATTTTGCAATTTCTTTCGAAACTATTTTGTAGAGCTTAAAAAAACAAATAATTTAGTATATTGAAGCGTTATAATGCGCCTAATGGTTACGGAGAAAATTCCAAAAAATTGTAAATTTAAAATTCCCATGTTATTCTTATGGAGAATAAGTAAACTGTTGTAGTTTGCTTGTTTATAAACATATTTTGCCCAAAT